TTTGATATAGTGAAATCAATTTCCTTTGACTGTATCCTCAGTGTCAGGAAAATATCCTTAAACCATAAATCAAAATACTTGTGTTATAGAAACAGTAACCAATTTACAATGCGAAAAATGAAGAAACAAGGATCTTTACATCATGCAGGGTGGAAACATTGTTCAGCTTACATGGAAACACTTTTAGGATTGCACTATAATGAAAAGTGGAGCAACTACACTGGCTTTGACATAATTATTTATTCATTTATCTTAGACCACTTTTTAAGAAGTAGCTATTCAGTCTAGCCATCTGATTACGCCTGGTGCCACTGCATTAGGGCTATCTGATTATGGAGGAAGTAATGGAAAATGGTCTTGTGGCCAAAGATGGAAGGATGGTTTTGATGCCAGGATACAAACATAGAGTCATGAGATCTGTGTTCTTTTCTCAGCTCTTCCATTTGAGACCTACATATGTAACATTAACCAAGATTCACCATTCATACTTGCTTTTGGTGTTTCAGCCATAATCTGTCTTTGCAAGATCCATTAAAACATGGATCTAGACTATCTACATCACACTGTTAGTGGTAATATTTTACATTTAATTCCACAATGACTGTAAAGTGCTTTATAATCCTAAAATGGTATGTGCCACTATCACCATTATTATTATCCTTTTACCTTCAGACATTTTATAGCTATTATACAAGTAAGCAAGCCTTGCAGAAACTGTAGGCTAGGTACTTACTCTTCCTACCTTGCAGATAGGCAAATGGGGTGTTGTGTGAGTCACTAAAGAGCACAAAACAGGTCACTGTCCAAGGCTGGATTAGAATTGGAAAGTTTCTGGTCCCATTGCTCAGACCATAAAGGCTTGCTCAGACTATAAATCCTAAATTGTTCAGGAAAGGTTAGCGTCACTGCTGTATGAATAAAGCCCTTTTTAAAGATTGAAAAAGAAAATTGGAGAAAAGCTTTGTAGGTTGAAATTGTTTTGCTAGAATTAACGGTAGGATGTTTCCCTTCCTAGAGAACATTCTCCTTGTCCCTTCTCAATTGATTTTTGCTGTTTATTTAGTTCATCTAACTGTCTCCTGCTAAAGTTCAATTAAGAACCACTGAAAAAGAGAGAAGATTTGGTATCTCTACTCTATTTCTGTGCAGTACTTGAGGAGTGACATTTTCATTTATAACCCTCATCTCCCAGAAGGGCCTGTCAGGTAATTTCCTACTTTAAAGGCCACTTTCTTCCTGTGGAATAATTTCCACACAGTGGCAGACAAGGTTCTTTGGGTAAACCCGAAAGGTTGCAAAGAACAATTTTTCCAACTATTTAGTTGGTCTAATAAAAGATATCACATTTACTCGAAGAAACGTGTATGCCTATGTTCTTAGACCAGCACAGCTACAACCAACACCCACTTTACACACTGGAGATTTTTAGACCCTTCTTTGCCTACAGATATGTTAAAGCAACAGTCCATGTTTTGCTGTGTAGATTAATGTAACCTTCAACCATCCTTTTTACTGGTATCTCCTTCAGTAATGCAAGACCTATAATAAATAGTAGTATCACCAGTCAAATGTCAGCCACTATAAATGATTTTTTCTTTCCCATATTAAATTGTTTAGCTGATAAGGTTCTTTTTTTCCCCTTTCTCAAAAAAATAAATAAATAAAAGCCCAATAGGCAACACAAATGTCCACATACAAATTAGTAAGTTCATTAAGTCCCATGGACATTTCCTTTGGACTTTATAACTATCTTGGTGTTCATACTTTCTCAAAACTTTTATTTTTTACAGTTATCATACTTTGTGCATTGTCAGATGACTAGTTTGAAAATCAAACTATTTAGTGATGACTTTTTTAAAAGTCAGGTCACAATATATTTAGGAAAATAATTTGGAAGAGTGATGTGAGAACTGTACATTTTTTTTTGCAACATCAAAATGTGGAGATCTAGCAAAGGCAAGGCATGACTAAAAAGAAGTATCAGGTTTTTACTGTATTGAATTTTACATGGAATGTTACTTCTGAAGCCTACCTCCAAAAATCAATTTCACTGCACTTAGACTTTTCCTCTAGATCAGACATTTGTCACAATTCAGTATCCATTCATCTCCTACCTCTTTGGCCTTGTGAAAGTAACAAATGGAATTCTGTTTGGTTATGTCTGGAAAGATGAGCAGTGATTTGGGTTCTTTCATATCTGTAGGAAGAAACTGAGCACTGGAATAATTGACCTGTCAAGAATCAGGCAAGGTGTTCTCCACAAGCCAGCAGCAAGGGAAATGAAAAACCAGTTTTAAAAATGTTATTTTTCAATGTGGTCTATTTAATAACTTCAGCAGTGTCAGACAAGCTGTTTAATTTATATCATGGTGCCAGTTTATAGAGTGATTTTATCATAGAGAGAGAATGTAGAGCAGTGATATGTAAAATATACATCTGTATTTGTGTGTGGTAGGGGTGCTCACATTAAAAGAGAGCTGGCCAAATAATTATGTTAATGCTAATTTATTTAGCATTTCCATTTGTCTTTTGTCTTGATAAATTATCCCAAAGCAGATCACAGTTTCCCCTAGCATACTCACTATTTCATGGAATAACATTGGGACTAGAGTTTGGTCCATATGGTGTTTGTGTCCAGTTCACTGCAAATATATGGACTGGTCATAAACCAGATTCACCAGATACTGTGTTCACGTGCAATCTAGTCCCTGCTTGCATTAGCCAGGTGCTGAGATATAGGCTTCAGATTGCAGCTATGAATTTCACTTTGTTAAACAACTATCCTATATTTAATAATATAGACTAGTATATAGTATATTACCTCTTCAAACTGGCTATTATGATGAAGAGTCAGGGCAGTAAATTCATTCACTAGAATAGATATAGAGTACAAATGGAAGGACATATCAATTTAGCTGAAATGATTTTTTAATACAATATTGGAATGAATATTTTTTTAAATATATCTTTCAGTGCATGTGTTGCTCTATGTCTTTGTGTATAGGAAATGTATCTTTCCATACACCTGGCATAATGAATACTATACATTTTAAGAAAAAATGTGAATCCATTTCAGCATAGTCCATTATATTTCAAAACAACAGCTTAATATTATTCTCTGCCATTATTATCACTATTATTATTTTCTTTTAAAATCAGGTACTAACAGCAAAAATATATAAGCTTTATTCACATTTCTATGTTAAAGAACTGATAGGATTTATATAAATACTCATTTTAAAACATGATTTCATTCTCTTTCACTTTCTGTAAAAATAAGGGTGTTATTACACATTACAGTTCACATGTGCTACCTCTAAGGAATGTTAGATGGTATTAAAATTGGCACATGTTGTGAGCAGTTGCACATTGAGGGTTAATACGTTCACTAATGTGTACAACTCTGAGTTGCTGCTAGACAGCTGCAAGCAGGGGCATGGCTAGGAGCTGCCAAGTCTATCCCTTGGCTCCCCAGCTCAGTGGCTGTCCAGCAGTTCCCCATTCACCTGCCCCACCTCCTGGGGCTCTGTAGAAGCTCCCCACTCCAAAAAACCCAATAAGGAAAAAAAATTCTTGAAGTTCTTGATCCCTTAAGGATTTGAGTAAGATAATGAGAAAATGAATGGAGCTGTCCTTGGACAGGAATATCCTGGACTGAGAAGTTTCTGGGTCTTTCAAAACTTAGCAAAACTGACCCACAAAAGTGAGTGAGATAAAATTGGTGTTCTGGATGATAGATTGTCCGTGGAGGGGAAGAGATAGAAAATGGCTGGGGATGGTGCATTCTGGGATATTGGAGGACTGTAAATTGCTGGTATCGGCCTGGTAGCAGAGCAGATTCCAACCCGAGCTGCCTCACACTAGCTGGAAATAATCATCGCCTGAAAAGGTATAACTTTGATACATTGACAGGGCACTTAGCTCATCTTTTCCTGCTTTCATGCACAGGCATTGCCATCTTAACACATGGGAAAAATAACAATACCTTACAGTTCGGTTGTTGAGTACACCAATTTTATACTCAGTCTGACTAAGAAGGGTTTCTCTAGATCTTATAGTTTCATAGTTGATAGGGTCAGAAGGGACCTGAGCAGATCCTCAAGTCCGACCCCCTGCCGTGGCAGGAAAGGATGCTGGGGTCAAGCGACCCTGGCTAGATGATTATCTAGCCTCCTTTTGAAGATCGCCTGCCATTTTGAAGTGTGGGAACACTGATACATGCTTTCAGTGCTCTCAGAGCCACCCTAATTAAAACATCCCCCTGCCCATCCCCAGAAAATGTGTAAAAATGCTCTTAGAAACCAATGTACAAGCCAATATTCCTGTTCTACCCAAACTTCAACTGATTTTTAGTTGTTTTGCAGCTAAACCATAAAATGTGGCCCTCAAACATTCATCCTTACAATGTAACCTTAGTAGTACTAGTCATGCATCTGTCATGTTTCTCTAAAAGATTATTTTTCATGTGTAAGCTGTTTGGCCTTCTTTTCAGATACCCTAAGTATTATTCTAAATGAGTTAAATATTACATGGATTATTATTCATGTATCATTCATTCTCCTGGTCTGCAATATGAACAGTCTATATTTCATTAGTAAAGGAGTTGAGTTCAGGTCCTCCAACTCATCTGGATAGACCAGATGCTACCAAACATTCAAAGGAAAAAACAGAACCAGTCTTTGAGAAGCCTTAGGAACGATTAAGGAATCCTAGTCTGACTCCAGAAATCTGAGTTTTTCTAACATTTAGAGTATTCTGGAGCTACTGACACTGGCATCAAAACTCAGGGAGGGTCAAAAGATAAATGGATGTTGATGCCTTTTAATTGTCTCCAAAGGGAGCCATGGTCCGACTAGGTTCAGTCAGTCAATCCTGAAAACCCAATAAGGAAACATTCTTGCAGTTCTTGATCCCTTCAGGATCTGAGTAAGAAAATGAACTAGGCTCTCCATGAACAGGAATATCCTGGATTGAGAAGTTTCTGGATCTTTCAGAATTTAGCAAAACTGATCCACAAGAAACAATGAAAGGTTTCTGTAGTGGCTATGACCAGAATTAACCAATCTACTAAGGGGAGGTATAACCATTTTGGCTGTTTGGCACTTTATCTTTAAAATTAGTTCCTGAAGCTCTTTATTTAAAAAAAAAAAAAGGAAAAAAAAAGGAGGAAAAGAAAAAGAGAGCAGGTGGAGAGAGCCGGGGAAAACAAAAGGAAAGAAAATAGGTCATATTGAAGGCCTCCCCTCCCCCCCTCAAAAAACAACAACTTTAAAACAGGGTTGTCACACTCACCCTTATGTAGTAAACAACAGAACAACAGTGAGTGGTTAGGCAGAGTGGGACTTCAACAATAGGCAAAACTCACCTCACTGAAAAGAAGTGAAAATATTTGACCTTGCTTGAATCTCTCCATCTTTTAGTGCAATACCAAATGAAATCCCACATGCTTTTACTCTTTGGCTGCACAAAAGTTGTAAGGTCTTATATTTAAATTGATATGACCCCCTTAATAAAGGCATTGTTTTTCAAAATTGTAAGTGACTGACAGACAACATGTGTGCATCTAAGCCTGACAGATATGTAGACCTTGTGTACCCTTTCCATACTTGTACAGTATTTAAGCAAATTTTGAGCTCTAACACCAGATTAAAGTCTGTCTTCTATTTTTTGCTGCTGTGTGGTACAGCTCCAAGTGCACCTCCTCAGTCCGTGACTGTTCTTACAGTTGGAAATCACAACAGCACAAGCATCAGCATCTCCTGGGACCCTCCACCTCCAGATCATCAAAATGGAATCATCCAGGAGTATAAGGTAAAACTGCTGACTGGCGGGAGGGATGTAAACTAAGGCAAATGGGTGGCTGAACAATACCTCTCAGGTTACCCTTTTCTGAGTGGAGGAGGGAAGCCATATATAGCTGTGTGCTCCTCTCAGACAGATTTAGTTAGGATCCCTCAATCTGTACAGAAAGCTAGTGGTGGGGTGAGAAGTGTTGCTTTTACTTTTCTTCTCTGCATCAGAACAGATTCAAATACAGGCAGTCCTCAGATTTACGACACAATTGTTTCCTGAAAACCGTGTCTTAAGGCGAAACGTTGTAACTTGGAAACAATTTTCTCATAAGAAACAAAGTTATAAACAGGAGATTCATTCCTGAACCAAGGAAGGCCCGATACCCTGTTTTCATCAAAAATACCCCAAAATTTTGTACTTGATCAATTATAGATGAGTAATATAGCTACATTGATGTATTTATATTGTCAATAGCAATCGTATTGATTTGGAAGGATTTCTTTGAGGTGACTTTGCTGGACTTTTTGAAGGGCTCTAGGTTGAACTTTGTGAAGGGTTCTTGGCTGGAGTCTTCTCAGGAGTCTTGGCTGCAGGTTTTTCTGGAATCCTGTCACTTCCTTAAAGGAAGTGTCCAAGGAAGTTTGGACAGATGTTCTCCAGGGAGATGGGCAATGTAGCAAACTTGTTCGCTGGTATGGCATCACGTCAGATCAAGCATTGTAAAGGTGAAACTGACGTCAAAAGTTGAAACAGGATGTCAATTTATAAATGCTGTATGTGTGAAATATTGTAACTTGAAACGTTGTAAGTCGAGGACTGCCTCTATCTCAAGTCAGAGGGTGTGGCTCTGGGAATTTCAAAACTT